TAGACTCAACAATGCATAATCAATATAATATGATGTCATCAGAGGCCAATGGTGTTTTATCACACCATGTTTATCACACCATGTTAAAGGAATATTTTCCACGTATCATCGTCATTTTGACATCATCATGACGTCAGTCAGACGTCACAGTTTGGTGGGTGAATGACGTCAATACGATGTGAGTAATATGACGTCATTGGGCTGTGACTTAGTCATTATCACGTCATGCGACGTCAACTACTGGCGTCACCTTGGTCATTCAAGTGACGTAAAAAAGACGTCACTATAACGTCATCTGGTTGCCTGGGATAAAGTCCAAATTGGAAGCATTTTAGTATCAGGCTAACTGAGATATCGTGAGTGAGTATATCGCCCTTGTGCTCTTCAATGCCCTGTATATAGCTTCCCTACGAATTCTACTAGCGAGAAAGTGAATAAACTAGATATGTCTTCAATATTCCTCCATTTTTCTGGGATTTTTCATTTTTATGATATTACAATTTAACAATGAAAAGGTAATCATTCAAGATATCAAACTGGAAACGAGTATAATATCGATTTGATTATCTCCTCATCTCTATAATATCATCGTATACCATTCAAATGCTAGTCAATCAACTTTCATTTGAGCATCACCTTCATTCTCATATGAGTGCTGTTTCACAGTTATGTGATTTTTTTTAGTATGTTTCTATACAATTTCGTATAGCAACTTATAGATATTTTTCTTGGTGCATTCGAAATTATGAAAACATCAAGCTGTGCAAAATCAATTCGGAGAACTACTACTACTAATTAAACAGGGTGATCCAGGATAAACGTCATCATTTTCGATGGGCGATAAAACAACGGGAGAGATGAAGACTTTCATGATGAAACTTTTGTTGGAAGTGCTTCCTAACAAAGATACAGGATGTCAATGTTTTGACACCTCAATTGAGTTCTCGACGGGCTGCGTTAGGTTTGGAATTGTGAAATCAACACAGTCATGTGTACTTCAGAAAGCCATACTATTCACAGCCTATACAGAACCTCATAAGTTTCAGCAAATTCAAATACGTATCTCAAAAACGAAGCAATGAATAAATAATTTGCAATAGAATTTTCATTCTTCAAATTGAACGAGGAATCCAAAAACTGATGATTTCCTGTAAAATATCCAGTAACACCAAAAATTAGGGGGAGGGAAAGCGGACCCCCATTATCTGCGCCACTGGACAATTTCTTCAAATGATTTCTATCATTCAACAATTCTCGAATAATTACTCGAAAATGTAATACTTTAGTCTGTGTGCGAAATTTGATCGAAATTGGTCGAGTGGTTTGAAAGTTATGATGAGAAAACTAATGTTTACCCAAAGCTCCCAGGTAGAACATCATATTGGCTAGAACTTGGTTTCATATTAGCCCAATATTCGAATATTGAATGTGGAATTACTAGATTGCACCAATATCAAACCAATTTTTCATTTCAATATTCGATCATCAATCCATTGCCAATATTTTAATAACATTGAAATTTTGTGACCAGCCGATATCAATTGGTCAATATTTATTTGATATTGGAGGAATATTAACGATCACAATATGTCAATTTTTATGATGGGCTGATATTGCATTTCCAATATCAAATCGATCTTGGAAAAAAATATTGACTCAATATCCAATTTATCATGGTTAGTGAATATTGCATTTCATTGTCCAGCAATGTTGTAATAACATTGAAATTTTGTTTCCAGCCGATATTTATTTACCAATATCAATTCGATATTGGTGAAATATTGACGATCACAATGTCAATTTCCATGATTGGGCTAATATTGTATTTCCAATATTGAATCAATCATGGAAAAAAATATTGCATCAATATCAGATTTATGATGGTTGCTGAATATTGCTCTTCGTTGTCCAGCAATATTGCACTGATATTGGTGATTCAATATCATTTCGATATTCAATAATCAATCCAGTGCCAATGTTGTAATAACATTGAAATTTTGTGACCAGCCGATTTCAGTTTGCCAATATTTATCTGATATTGGCGAAATATTAACGAATACAATATGTCAATTTTCATGATGGGCTGATATTGTATTCCCAATATCGAATCAATCTTGGAAAACATATTGTATCAATATTTTGTATTTTTATTCAGCCAATATTAGTTCATCAATATGCGACCCATTTCAGATAGATATAACTAATGAAATATGCCAGAACCAATATTGCACTGACATTGGATTTCTAATATCGAATCGATATTCGTGATATTTCCCTTAGTATTTGAGCTACGTTATAACAGCTGGCGCCACTAGCACGCCTCCAACAAACGACTGCTGAGAGACATCAAATACCGCATTCGTTCAACTTGCAAACTAAGTATTCTGGGATACAGGAAACGAAAATGGATTTGATATTGTACAAATATCGCAATTTTTCAATGAGGCTAATATGGCTTCGAATTTTGATTTCGAGTTTTGTTGAAAAACGAAATTCAATATTGGTTGAATATTATAATTCAACATGAAGATAATATTGCAAAATAATCACATCCTCATTTTAGCCAATATAGTAGGGGAATATGAATTCAATATGAAAATTATAAGAAACCAGTTTTCTATAAGTTGGCATCATATATTTGTCCAATCTTGTATACGAATATTAACTCGATATTGGATAGAGCATATCGAAACAAGATTGAAATTCAACATGGCACCAAGATTCCAGAATGTTCACATTGATTTATTGACCCAATAATTAAAATTAATATTTTCCCAACATTCACCATTTATTGACTCAATATTGAACCAATATTAGTGTTCTACCTGCTTTTGCCACCCAGTATCCTTGTAAGGAAGCATTCTCAATCAAAAATGTTTCTTGAAAGTCTACTTCTTTCCCATTGTTCTAATGCCTATCAGAATTAATGACGTTTCACTTAACCACCCTGTATACTAAGTTTTATGAACAATATAAATTTTGCAATGTTTTGCATATATGTGATGTATGGTATAATATACTGGTTACGAAATACCTCAAGTATAACCAATAATAACCATACATTAAAAAGCGATTGTCCACGAGTACCATAATAATAAAAAAACTGAAAATGAGTCTTTTGTATGTAAACCATAATTTAGCACGATCTACCAACAAACCACAATGTAACGAATGGAACATAAGGTTTCGGATTATTTCAATGCATAATTCAGTCACCATGTGATTAGTTGAACAAGTTGAGAATATTTTAGTGGTCTTCAACAACAATGTTCATGAGTCGATGAAAATATCTTTGTTTCAAGATGTATACGCTTAATTTCGAGAAGCTTTATAAATTTCATAATAAATTATATACATCATGTAAATATATGTATAAAAGTTATCAAATACCAAGAGAATGAAGTGACAATTTCGAAATCCTGACCATGCAACAATTCAATTTGACAAGTGCTAGTTCGTTTTTTCTCAATTTCATCATAATATGTAATACCACAAGTAGTTGCCCAATAATTTCGCCGAATGACACTGTTTATCAAAACTTTCGAGCCGTAGGGTAGGGTATTCCATGATTGAGACAATAAACGAGCGGCTTGCAAGAGTTTCGCACACTGCATCCATCATTTTGGCTTTCAACATCATTGACGTTTTATACGACCAAAATTTTATCTCTTGTGTGGGTCAATTCGGCTTCTGTATTGGTCGAAAAAGTCTGATAAAATTTAGAATAAAAAAAAATAGAGACCAAAAGTGGAAAAGTCATGAAAAATGAAGTTATTCAGAAAGGATTCGCTTCAGCGTCCAGGTTTTGAATGGTTCACTTCAGTTGAAGCAAATAGAAAATAATATACGCCAGTCAAGAACACTACAACATTCTCATCCATAATTTTGTTTTCAGAAATTGATATACGGAATACGAAATACAAAAATATAACAAATTACAACTGCATATATTCAGGGTGATCTCAAAATAATTTCACTCAAGAATGGCAGATTTTTGACGTACGTAAGTATTCTTTCCAGGAATAATTTACCTCATTCTCGGTTTATACATTCCTAATAGTATTCGATCATTCCGAATTGACGCTGAAATAATGAAAATCTATCAATAGCTATTCATTATAGAAGGGAAAAAAGAAGTAGATTTTAGCTCGAGGTTGTGTTGTCTCCCGATGCGTAGGGGAGGAAGACAAAAAACCTTGAGCAAAAATCTAATATTTTTCCCGTGCATACTATGTTTTTTTCTCTGACAGGAAAGAGGATTAATCATTATTGAGAAGATATTACATTATAATAAAATTAGAAAAATATCGACGTGAAGTTTTTAACAGGAATTACACCGGCATCTTCTTGCAGGCATCTTCATCATTCTTTTGAAGTAATAAGGTATCAGTCAGTCTAATTATGTGATATGATTTTGAAAAATTGCGAACTTGGTGGTTTCTTAGTTATTTACGTAACCGCGAAGTGGAATAGAAGATAAAAGGACGTGCAGTTCTTTTTCGGAGTCGGTATATTATTGCCTCATTTTGCCATCAAACAGTGTATATATACACTAGAAAAATGTGCTCACTTTTTTTCCCGCAGAAAAAAGTAATCTATGAAGAGTGACATTTTATAACCTAATCAACAGGGATAAAATGTCAAACTTTTCACCCGTCACAGAAAAAAATACATTTTTCCATATTCTCGTTCAATTTGGACAATGTCTCCTCATTTTATGATAGTTCGAACAGACGGTGAAGAACATCTGTTCCTGAATTTATTGTACATGAACAACTCACAGTTCTCAATTAATTTCATTCAAAAACCATTAGTAAGCCTATTCATTATTCAGAACTGATGTTTTACATCTAGATATTATGACAATTAGAGACTGTCAGTGGTTTCAAGAATACGTCCTCACTGTCTAAAAACCATAAATACGTCAGATCCTCCTCCAGGCACTCTACTGTAAATTTCACTGAAGTTAAGAAAGAACAGAACAAAAAATACGTACTCACCCCGCCTGGGATACCCGCATTGAGGAAAAGGGCAAGAGTATCAGGCCACGGAAGCAATTTATATTGGTCCCACCACCTGCTCACAACCAGAGACACATAGAAACCTAATACGAACGACATTGGTATCGTTTCACCCTGTTGGCTGAAGTATAGTCGAATTTTCTCGAATACCCTAAAAACGAAATATATCGCGCTTTACAAAATAATCCTGACATGAAATGGGCATATGATTGAGGTGAATCATTTGCATGGTGGTAAGCAATCAAATCAAAATGCGAAATTCAAAGGTCTACAAGAGTTAATTTTCCCTATATCAAATGTGTTTAATATCTGATGGAAGCATCCTTGTAGGCACCTTCTTAGGTATACAATTCAAGTTAATACGAGTCATCGTTGAAGAAAGGAGATCCTCATCGTCAAAGTCTGAATCTGTTATCAACAAATGGAATAGGAAGTGAAACTCAAACCCAAATAAGGAAAAAAGTAACATTGAGATGATTGAAAAACTTCAAAACAAAGCAATTCACTATTGAAACTGTAGAAGAGATGAGTGTAGATCGTAGTGTCATCTGCAGATAAGATGACTTCTCTAGATATATTAGGTTCTGTGATATCATTGATGCAGATCAAGAATGATATGAGGCCAAGTATTGAGCCCTGTGACACACCACATTGGGTTGCCTAACCCTTAGGAAGGTAAGAGGTTTTAACAATTTGGTTCCGATTAACAAGGAACTATGCACTGCAGATTTACACCTTTGGAGCCATAATATTCAAGTGTGTCCAATAGAATTTTTTGAATTGACTCTGCCGTTACTTGATGGAAGTCCATAGCAATTGTAAAAACTTCACAAACGGTAAGATTTCCACAAAATTCTCAATCACACGGCATGTGTCGCTAACACAGTAGCTTCATCAGGTGAAATATACTGGTACAATGAAAAAAAAAATCATTTTGAAATACTGGTACAATGAATTTTGTTTAGGAATACTAGTGAAATGTTATTCATTCAGTCGAAAGCCTTGAATAGATCCACAAAACACTACTACTGTTACCTCTCTCACATTTATTTTATTTAGCTTTACCGCTGATGCAAATGAAATCTTTCAGAATTGATTAGTTACAAACTGTGTATGACCAGTTCACTGAATAGTTCGAGGAGCAATAAGAGAAATAAGATTTCCGTAACATCCTGCTGCATCATCACTTACTTGAAGTGATGAAGCGAGAGAGAACCTTGAACCATCAAGATATGATAACCGAAAATGAGCTGAGTTATAGTGTAGTGCAAAAAATATAGTAAGTCAAATGAGTTATTGCTACGTTATCAAAATAAAATGCGAATCTGAAGCGAATACGCATTCAAAGAACGCTGATATCGCAATTTAAAATGCAGATGAGCATCAAGGCATCAACGAAGTATTTTGAGAGTATCTGATGTGAAAGCAGCTTGAAACTTTGTTAATCAATTTTTATTACAATAGGTACACAAACACATAAGCCCAATGGTACCCTGCGAATTTGTGAAAATAATCTGGAAATGTAGGTACATGGTAAATGGTTCATGTGAAAGAAACACTTGAAGAAATATACATCGAGAATAGAGGCTGGGCATTTTGGGCAAGCTACTGAAGTTCTGAAATTGTCAGAAACTTCACACAGAAAGACATGATTATCACTCCTTGAAGGCAAATCACACAACTCAGGATTCTCAGAATGTTCGAGTTCGAGATGAGATTGTAGTACATAGATATTACTAATGCTATTCTTGAATGAAATTGAAGAAACAATGTCTTACCTTTGCTGAGGGTCCGTTAGAGCAAACCTATAGATTAGGTTTATTATGTAATAAAGTAATAGATATGCTAGTAGCTCTCTCCAAACTAGTTTGTACACACTACCCCTCCATCTGAAACAAAGAAAACAGATCTTGTAGATTAATTCACCATATATAAGCATTCTCAATATTCTTGAGGGCAAATCTGACTGATGCTCATCGAATAAATTTTTTAAAAGTCCCCATTGGAATAGTTGAGGTTGTGATTACGTTTTCAATAATCTATATTGTACTAGATGGCAATTAATTGGCAAAATGATACACATTCACTTGTTGATGAAATAAGAAAAACTGAAATCTTCTTAGCAGATTATCGAAAACATTATGTTATTTTAGATTTAGATTTAGAGTGGGTTCGTGCTATCTGCCTCCACACCGCGACCTTTTCAGATCTATTGTGTCTGCCCTCAAAAGGAGTTCTATGGTTAGCCCCTTCTTCTCTATATGAGACTCCATAGGCTAGCTTTCAGATCCCCTGTGTAACTTTGGGCTCTTGGTTTTTCCTCACCCAGCTTGAGGAACCTTAGTCTCGATAAGCCCTCACAGAGGCAAAGTGTTTGTACTGCTGTTTCCTCCTCTTCCTGCAAGGCAGTTCTTCAGTCAGACCTATCATATTATATACTCATGTGTTTGTTGAGCTATCAATGCCATTAGTTATATACTGAGGCTACCATAAACTTCTTCTCCTAGGATAATCTCTACTAATATTAATAAGGGGAAGATTTGATTATTTGTTTGTTTGTATTGAATAGGCTCCAAAACTACATGTGAAAAATGTTTTCACTATTAGAATCCAACATTATCCCTGATGAACATAGGTTAATTCTTATCGCTAGTATATAAATGATTCATTGCTACGGAAAAACGGGTAATAGGATAACGGGTAGTGAGAAAATTATCCTTCCGTACTTCTCCTTTTCTCATAACTCCTGAACGACTGAACCGATGGAAATGTTACATGAGTGTTTCGATGGTTTCCTTGCTGATTCAAAAATTGAATTGTACGCGGTAGGTGGCGCTGTTGTCAGTACTCCAACTACTAACTACTTGACCGATTGGGTTGATATTTTCAATACGTAAAACATCAACAAGCAAATACAGAAGATACTGAAAGAATGAGAATAGGTACCTATAAGTTTATAATAATAGTAGTATAGGTGAGCGTGAAAAAAAATTGGAAAAATAACAAAATGAAATATGTACTGAAGATAGGCGCATAGCTCAGAACAACTGCAACAGATGTCTTCTTTTTTAAATGGGTTCACCAACTCTGCGAAGCCGGGCAGGACAGCTATTCCAAATATAACATCACCAAACGTCTATGAAGAGTCATGTAGGTTGCAAGATGTCAGAAAAAATCATAGGACATGGCATTCATTATATCATATTTTATTGTTATTAACATCATAATCATCATTATATATCATCGGCAGGTCTCCGACTATCCGAAGAATGTCATTCTGATATGGAAATAAATCACATAATTTCTCGTTAAAAATCTAATCAGGCGTCGACCGACAGTTAGAGGACGTTCTTGAAAATATCAAGATCTTGTCTTGATCTAGTCTTGAATCAAGACAAGATCAAGACAAAAAGTGATTTCAGATTTCAAGACAGGGCAAAAAAATATATGTCAATACCAAGACTCTTGTCAAGAAAACGAGAAATCTTGAAATATGTTCACTAACACAGCAAACGCTATAATGTATTCATTTTTTGAACAGATAACAAGTTTAAATATAACATATTTCAATTTAGTGGGAAAATATTTCTCTGAGACGATTCACCATCAAATTGAAAATGATGCATGATGAACCTGTAGAAAACTGATCACTTTATTTTCAATAAAATCGTAACGATTGCCTACGTTTCTGTCTTCTACTTGTTGATGAATATTCTGATCAAGAATCAGAGCCAAATGACTCAGCAGACGTATAGTGTTTCTTGAGGGGTCACTGTCACTCAGGGTTGAATCAAGTAAGATATGAAAATGATGTTTTTTTACGGCTTCAACACAAAATTGCTATTGTTTTTCTGTTTTCGATAAATCAATGAGGTACTTTGTATGTCATCAATTCCATTTCCGTACCTGATATCACAAAATGGCTTAATATTGTGTTATCATTTCACAAAATCTCATCTCTCATGAAATGTCAAATTTCAAGCAATCACAGCTCTGTCTGATGAATTAGCATTACATCAGATGGCTTCGAGCCGATGGAATAAAAAGTTTCGCTGTAATCTGTTACAGCCGTAGAAAAAGTATAGTGTATAACTCGCACAGAATGCTAATGGCCCACTCGCCTGATTTGCAGCATTCGCCTATCCTCGTGGGAAATGACTATCATATATATACCAAACAATATTCTATTTACCACCAGTATCCACCAACTGTACCTACTAAACTAAATAGGGTGTACCATGCGACGTCTTTGAGCTCGTCAGAAAACATATAAAGATCGAGGAACCACCAGAATGTCATGATAGCAAGCGACACAATAGAGAGTTTGCCAGAGAATCATCATGTAAGGTGTCACATCAAGAAATTTCAAGATCTTGTAACTTCTTGAGTCAAAACAAGATATAATACGTCAGAAAAACGTCAAGACAAGATTTTTTTGAATTTCTTGACTATTAACGTACTAGCCAGTCAGCTAGTTTTAATCATAAGTCTATGAGGGAATTTCAGATAGGACATTGTTGTCTGAATAATTCCTGAATAATTCAACAATTTGGTTGAAAATTGGATTGATTCAACTCAATTAACGTATCTATTGTTTAGTATATTACGCAACATGGAAAGTTCTCAATAAATCAATATAGAAGTCGTGATATATTATAAAATATAGGTATCTTCTCGATGGTCATCATCACATACTACAATGATGTAATTTTTGCAAAAAAATGTGGAAAGGCTAGTCAAATTTTAATTTGTTTGTTTATCGGTGTCCTTCAGAGGAATTTGCGTGTTAGTCAGCAATTAATAATTGTTACTGCGGATAGTCTCAAGTTATCAGTTTGTTATGCAGTTTTGTCTACTTCATTGTTCAATGATAATGTTCTGAAAACCATCTGTTAGCCGAATTAGAGAATTGATATGCTCAGTTTTTCTGAATGTTGGAGGTTTTGCCGGATTAGCAGAAAGCTCTTTTGCCAAAATATATGAAGACCACAGGAGAAAAAGGGGGAATGTCACAAAAAGTTAGTTTCGAGAATAACGCATTTGCAAATTTAAAACCTCCTTACTTTTTGAGAGTTGAAGGAAACTGAAATCAAACCACCTGGATTCATTTGATGGAGTATAATGAGCAATAAAGTTGATGAACAACTAGAAATTAATATGTCAAACAACTCTGTAGTGTATGAGTTGATGTATCACCCTTGATTACACAATAAACCACTATCAACGGAAATCACCTTAGCGCTGAGTAACGGGGAAGGGAGGACAGTAAGCGTTAGATAGCGATAGGGTGACGACCGAGTGAAGTTAATTGCATACAAGTGTTTTATTACAAAGTGAAATATACCAATAACATTGTGAGTCCCTTATAGTGTATAAAGGGACAAACTCTTTACCAAAACTTGTTAATACATAGAACGGCAAAGATTTGGAATTTTTGCCCAACAGAGTATTCCCAAGAACTTATAATCTCCAAAAGTTTCAAAAAATCCCATTACATACCTCCTCTTCCTATCCTCCTTAGGTACCCACAATATTTCCCGAACATTACAGAGATTCCCTTCCGTACGCTACAAGAGATGAAAGAATGGAGGCCGTATCTCTTTTTTTTTTCTTTCTTCATTTTTTATTTCCCTGAGAGTTCACTTTGACCTTTTGACAGTGTGAAAACAACCTATTGAAATCACAATGAAATCTGTATTCAAACAAGCTGTAAGCTTGGACGTTCCTCTTTCTTCACATTTTTGAAATGGACATTCCGCGTTTTTTCCATGTGAACGTATTCTCGAACGAGCATATCAGCTGACTATGCTGCGTTATTGCTATGGACTTCTGATGTTTATACTAAAATATATAGTGGTTAGGCTTTCAGTGTCAATTTCCACTATATTGTGACATTCCCACTTTTTCCATTTTGGTCTCCATATGTTCTATCTCGTGTCCTATAGGACTTCCACTTATACTGAAAGCAAGCAACAACTCCGTTATTCCGAATGAAATTCCCTGTGTTTCATGATCAGAACCTCGTCAAATCTCACATTTTGCTGGGTAGGTCTTCGAGCAATAATTATTGAAATTTTCACAAAAATAGCCCATTACTGAAACTCCAATGAAAAAAGAGTGGCAGAATCCAGGAGATGTTGAAGGAAATAAGATATAATAGGAGGTACAAGAAGATTTTAAACACAATGCGAATGCAGGGTGATCATGAAATCATACTCATTTGGCACAATTTGATATGTTGAAAAGTCATTGTAATCGAATAATATTAACTGTTGAATCTGATTATTTCGTAAGATATAAGGTGTTCCATTTTAAAAAACGAAGTTGTAGCCTTCTTCTGGTATGAGCTAAGATCTCATGGAAGTTCAGCTGGAGCTATTTCTTTCCATTGAGAAAAGATGGCTGGTATTTGATTTTTGCTCTTTTACTTGTTACAGAATCATAGAAGATGTTCAAACTGAATAGATCCTCAGCTGCTTGACAATAGCCTAACCTATCAACGAATTCCCTCAAGCAGTTCTGAATAACTTCTGATGTGGTTATTTTTTAATGATAATGCGCTCTTGCAATTCTTGTCTTGCAGACTTCAAATTTAATGTCACCAAAGAAAGGAATCTAATGGATTTCTAAACCCACCAGTCAAAGACACGGCCAACTTTATGGCGATGTCAGTCGAAATAACAGAAATCAGACAAAAATATTCACATACGGAGTGATTCATTAAAACAAAACTGCTGACTGCGCCATATTTATAAAAAATGAGTAGAACATAAAAACATCATAATACAATCTTGATGGAGAAGAAACGAATCACTTCTGATTTAGTCAAAAATCAGGTGTTCTCACACATAAGCCCAGATATACTACGTTGGTAGGTATGTACAGGGTG